AGGCCAATGGCAGAAAGCCTGAAACTGTAACCTTTATCCAAACAAAGAAAATCAAAACCAAAATGGCGGGCATTATCGGAGTACGTGCCTATAAATACCGTCTGCATTTTCGTCGCTTCCACACCGCCTGAACGCCGAACTACACCGAAACCCCTTCTCTCTCTCTCTCTGCAAATTCACGGGACTTTACGAAGCAATGGCCTGGCCGGATCAAGAAGCCGTCGAAACCTTCATGAGAATCACCGGTGCTTCCGAGTCTCTCGCCCTGCGCAAGCTCGAGGTCCACTTTCCGTTTTGCTTTTTTTCTTTTTTCTTTCTTCTTTTTTCTTGCCTTCTCTTTTTATTGTCCGATCTCGTTCTTTTTTTTTATGTTATCATGATCTTTGGGTGTTTGATTTGCTGTATTTGTCGTGATTGATCCACATTCCATCTTATAATGAATCTGTTATGGTTATTGTTATTAATTGGTGATTTGGTTTTAGTTCTTGCCGTGTATGGCGATTGATCGCTTTTTAGTTGAGAATCTGGGAGTAATGTGGTGAAATTTGAAGGTTAATGCTCGATTTAGTTTATTCGGTTCACTACCGTTGTTTCGTTTGATCCTGTGACAATGGCTGGAATAAAAGTTTCCTATGGTGGCTTCTTACAAACTCTTGAAATAAAAAATTGCTCTATTTTTCGTCCATTATATAGTTGCGCGTGACTAGAGTTCTTATGTCTGATTGGTAACATCTAGTTTTTGAAAATTTGACTGATTTTCTTCCAATTTCTTCACAATGATTTTCATTTTAAACGTTTGATCTCTTTGTCATACTTAACAACAGCAACAAAATAGAGAGCTCTTAGGTAGAGTGGTGACAGCTTAATATTTGTTCATTTCTGATGTCAATCTTGGTCTACCACAAACTTACTTCCTTTTTTGCTTTACTTCCACACATTTCGGGATAACTTCTTGATTTATTATTGGGATCACCCATCTCTATTTGGGTGTCTTCATCATGATCACACGGGTTTGCGTCAATAAATTTTCCCTTTTTCACTTAATCATTAGGAATAACCTATCGATTATTTGATTCCTTAGTTCCCCCATTTGTATGTGCAATTTTGGTGGTGGTCATGTACTATAGTATCGACTAGACCTATAATGCATGCCTTTAACTTGAATATGAGCTCAGAAAATGTTACAAAGCCTTTCCACCTGAAATTTGTTTTTATCAGCGTTAGTGTTCTAGCAAATCTAACATTACGGTCATAGGCAGGAATATAGAGGCGATATCAATGCAGCTGTCAATGCTCATTTCAGTGAAGGTTACAGTTTCAAGTACGTAGTTTTACATTGCTACTCCTTATCTTGCAATATGCTGGCTTCATCTGTTTGGGTGCATACACTACTTATTTCTCATCTTTTCTTTGTTCTGTTCCTTCTTGCTCAGTCGATATGTTGCTCCCACCATCCCAGAGCAAAACAACACAAATGCAAATGGTGGGAGTCAAGGTGGACAATATGGGCTTTCGCCACTTCTTAATGCTGCCAGAAGTTTCAGTCCATCAAGCCTTCTTGATCCCAATTATAGAAGACATCTTTTTGACCAGATGCGTAGATACCCATCATTTGGCCCTCCATCTTCTAGTTCACATCCACAACCAGGAGGCATGGGGTCAGTTCCTTCAGGGTTCAATTCCCTTCTGGCGCAACCATCTCATCAAGCATGGAGGGGTACCTTTGAAGGTGAAAATCACAGTTCATCATTCAGTAATCAGAAAACAGAGAGAGACACTGAGGATGAAATGCTTAGAGCTGCTATTGAGGCTTCAAAACAGGTTGAAGCATTTGATCCGTAGCTTACAGCCATTGCTAGACATTTATTCTAGTTCTTGATCGTTTGTTATATATTACTTTTACTAATGTTTTCTCTCCATGATTGAATTGCAGGATTCTGATGCTGAGCTCTTACAAAGACAACTTCAGCGAGAGGATGATGATCTTGCTCATGCAGTTTCATTGTCGTTGAGGGTATTTATCCGCCATTTCTTAGAAAGAAAATTGGTAGTATGCTGTTTGTCCATCCCTTAAAGGTTGAATTGATTTCAGATAGCCGAGCAAGAGAAAGCAGTCCGCGAGCTGATGCCAGAGAATAAAGATGAAGCTTCAAGCATAGGAAGGGGTGAACCCAGCAACAGTGGACCAAAGGTATTGGTCACTATTTGTCATTTGTGTTCTTTTTTCTTTTTATGCTACTCACTGACTTAGATCTGCATTTCATTTCACACAAAAAATAATTTTTCATCAAAATTGCTAGGAGAGCAAGGGAGGGACTACTACTCATCACCAGCCTGATCAAGATCCTTTCTATCCTAATGAGGTACTATGGTCCATGTAGATCCTTGACTTGTTCCCATATACATATGTGAATGACACGCTCACTAATGCACAAACATTTTTGGCATTAGTAACCAGAAGAGGGACTGTGTTTTATATATTGTGAGAATATGTTAGGACCTCCATTTTTGGCATGCTTGATGAGGCAAAACTAACATTTGTTTGATATTTATGGAAACTTAAATCATGTATTTTGTTTCCCTGAGCTTGAAGTGGGGTGGCATCAATTCGAAGGAGTTAAGTGAAGCAGTTTTGCTTGAATCTGCCATTTTTGGGGGAGTTTCTGAAGACTTCTCAGAGAACTCTGTGCCAGCATCTCATTTACAAAATGATAAAATTCAAGGCACAAGTAAGGGCACTGATCTGCAACCTGTACCATGTTTCTCAATACCATCTTCATCAACAGAGCAATCACAACAACAACAAAAGGTTTGTCCTGTATACCATGGTTTTAGCTAATAATTTAGGCTATATATACTTCGCTGTCGATCTTATAATTAACTATGGATTCTAAAATGTTGCTAGTTTTTATGCAGTCTATTTTTGGACTATGTTTTTTTACAATTTTCATGCTCCTTCACTGAACTTCATGCTGGATCAAACCTTACTGTGAGATCCCACATCGGTTGGAGAGGAGAATGAAACATTTCAAAGGATGTGGAAACCTCTCCCTAGTAGATGGGCTTTAAAATCTTGAGGGGAAGCCCGGAAGAGAAAGCCCAAAGAGGACAATATCTGCTAACGATGGGCTTGAGTTGTTATAAATGGTATCATAGCCAGATACCGGGCGGTGTGCTAGCAAGGATGCTGGGCCCTAAGGGGGGTGGATTGTGAGATCCCACATCGGTTGGAGAGGGGAACGAAGCATTGCTTATAAAGGTGTGGAAACCTCTCCCTACCAGATACGCTTTAAAATCTTGAGCGAAAGCTCAAAAGGGTAAGCTCAAAGAGGACAATCTGCTAACAGTAAGCTTGGGCTATTACACTTAGTTCTCTCCAAGAATCCATTGAATTCTTAATATGAATCAAAAGGTTATTGAATACAACAAGACAATTCTCTATTTATAGAGCATTGGGAAACAAACAAATCATAATCCTAATTAACCAAATAAACTAATCCTAAACCTAATTAACCAAGGAATTTATCAAAATATCTAATTAATCACTAATTCTACTGCATCAAATTCTGTACTAACTGTTCTTATACCGAATATCGTCCTTCTGTATTGTGTTCAGAGATCAAGATGATTTAAACCTTTTTCAATGTATTGTAATAATGGATCAAATCAAACTTCTCTATCTCTATTTGAAGATAGGCAAGTATTAACATTAAAACTTCTCTATCTTACGTGTAACAGGACACTGGAAGAAACTTAGCTGTGCAAGAAGCACCATTTCCTCCGGAACCAGAAATAGATAATAAAGATTCAGTAACCCTTCTTCTTCGAATGCCAGATGGACGTTGCCATCAGCGCCGCTTTCTTTATTCAGACAGGCTTCAAGTAAAATTTCATGGATGCTCAGTAGGATTGCTAGAATTTTGATTAGGCTAAATATATATTTCTGTCTTATTATGGCGTTTTTCAATTTACTCCCTTATGTTTTGACGTTTTAACATAACTTGTATATTTAGCCTTTTTTGTCATCCTCAACTGACTTCGGCTTTCTTGTTTTTGAAGCTTCTTTTCAACTTCATTGCTGACAAATTGGCTATGCAGCCTGGCACATATAAAGTGGTAAGCAAGTCACTTATCTCCTGCCCTTGATTCCTAAAACAGCTGCTAACTTGGTAGCCATAATACCGCAGTAAGCGCTTGGATTTTGCTGCTGGTCTGTCATTTTGTATTTGAAACGTTGACTGCAAAGTTTGTAATTGTTTTACGTTTCAAATTTCAACCACGACCATGACCTTGTACTCTTACTGTTGATTACATTTTCGCTTTCAATGAACACGTTCACGATCGCATTAATTGTCACATCTAATTCTTGATGAACAGGTAAGGCCATATCCCAGGTGTGCTTTTGGAGTTGAAGATGGTTCAATGATGTTGAGAGATCTCGGCCTCACTGGCAAGCACGAAGCCTTGTATGTGGAGATAATATAATATAGCATTTTCCACCTACCACTTTTGAACCCAACTGAACCAATGGGTGGTCATGCAGACAGGTTCCCAACCTCAATTTAGTTTATGTATATGAATAGGTCTGTCGGTGGCTAAAAGAAACAAGAATTCTTTGAAAAAGCTAATCAAGGGGCTGTTTGAATGATCTTAATCTATGTTTCTTATTAGATTATTGATTGATTATGTCTGTTTACCTTCGTTGACTTCATTAATTATATTCTGTGTCAGATTTGAATCCTGACAAAAGTTGTTTGGTCAACGTCCATGTTTTATCATTATCACAAAGGAATGTTCCATTTGTACTATACGAAACATCAAAGCTGTTCTCGACAGTCTGTCGATGTCGAGTTCGTGGGAGAACGTTGACTTCAAGGTTGCATGAGAATATGATATAGAATTTGTTTGTAAGCATATTACAGACTGTTTATTAATGCATCTTTCATGGGTTTGCAATGTTTTTTCACTTTTTCTTTGTACTTATATATGAACACTAACAATTACATTGACATTTTCAACAGCAGTTATATCAGGCAATATGATCCAACCTCTGAAAGTCCCTTTCACAAGAAAAAGTGGGTATTGAAACAAAAAAAAAATGAATTTATAAGAACAGTTATTAACCTCAAAGATTAGAAAGGAAAAAGGAAGAAGGAACGGAACGGAACGTCGAATCGAAACATTGGGAGGACTCTGCTAACTCTCAAGATGTTTGTTTTTCTTGATTATCTTCTTCAGGTGCAGGTGCAGTCCAATACTGCTTGGTTGCCACTAGTATCTTCTCTCTCTGATGGGGTCCTTTCTCATGATCTGCGATTCTGCAATTCCATTGCATACCCTCTGCAATGCTCTTGACCTCCACCAACACATCGACATCGTCTCTGAGGATCACGCTGCCCTGTGGTCGCAGAATTCGGTCCATTTCTAGCAGAATATCCTCCATTTCACATCTGCAACCCAGGTATAATTCTCTCTCGAGTAAGTTTTGAGCTCGAAATTCGATTTCATGATAGAATCTCGTAAAAGCTGCATGGTCTAATTTACCTGCTCTTGTACATACTGAAGATTGAATCGCCATGAATGAAGTCATATGTTCGAGGATACGTTGACATTGCCTCACACCTACAAACAATTAATGCAAAGTGAGAATATTTAGACTGAACTATGAAAGAATGCAGTAATACTGAATACATACCAATTTTGATATGTTCCTATAAGTCCCCGTTCGTATATGACTCCAAGGGTGTTAAAATCTGCTTCAACTGGGACAACGTTCATAACCCAGAGCGGATCGTCGATAAGGGCAGCTGAGAAGCCACCCAAGAACGAGTTCATGTCGAGCAAATTGCGGTACCTCCCAGGCTCAGCTAGCTGGTTGTCCAAGGCCTTGTAATGTGCTACTCTCTTTCTCCATAGCTCTGTATTTTCAGTAAAGTTTTGTGGTGTGATTTCCTTGAAACTCCCATTGCTTATTCTTGGTGGAACAGAAGTGAGTCTCTTCGGCCAGTTGAGCAGCTGCCCGCCGGCAGTTTCCTTTATGTCGGACACTTCAGGAAGTGGGGTCAAACAAGGCTCCATCTTAGTGTACCTGCACTTAGAAACAAAGCAAGGGCTTGAGCATCTTTTTGAACCCCTCTAGAAAAAGAATCAAAGCAAACAGTGTTTACGAACCATGCGGTGTCGGGGTCCTGCCCTCCCTTGCAGAAGTCGGGGACGTTCAACGCCTTGCGATTCCTTTTACAGTGAACATGGTTGGTTGGTTTCTGCCAAATGGCAATGTCACCCTTCTGCTTCAACTTTTTCCAGCATAGGCTTTTGGCCACAGCCTCGATCTTCGACTGCTCGTCTTGGAGATCCCCGGTCGTTCTGTTCCAACCTTTCCAGTGGCTTTCCCAGTTTATAGGTGGTCCAGAGAGAATCCAGTATCCACCAGGCCTTAGAATTCTATCAACCTCGATCAAATACATTCCTTCTGCTCAACACAGAAGGTGAACGAACAAACGAATGAACGAACAAACGAGAAGATCAAGTTCAAAGTAGGAATGAAAACAGAAATAGAAAATACCAGATTGAGCCCAGGGAATGAGGCAACGAGAGCAATGTGCCATGTCGAAAGCTCGAGAAGGATACGGGAGTCTGATCGAAGCGAGAACTCCAATTAGAGCGGGGATTCCACGCTCGAGCGCAAATTGAACTTGTGCTTCATGAGTGTCTCTAGGCGCAAATGACATTGCCAATATGTCCCTCGACAATAAGTATCCTCCCCAACTCGCCACCTGACCAAAAACACAATACAATTCCACATTAACTCCTAATCTATGATTAGTAGATGCTTAAACCATCAAATTTGGGTTTAATTTTTTTTATATGCTAATAGCTTATTAAACATAAAAATAAAATTGAGAAGGGAAGGATCTTTTTGACATAAAACAATAGTTGAGGGACTAAATTGCAATTTAATGATGACAGATTCTATTCCTTGATTGGAAAATTCCTTTTTTATTTAAATTTCAGGGCACGTTCATATTTTTTGCCATTTTTTTCTTTCAAATGTAAATTAAAAAAAAAATCACACTATTTAAATCAGCTAAAATTAAAATCCACTTGCCACTTGATATAATCACATGCATCCATGTCTACCAATGCACAAATAAATCCAGAATTCTTCCATTTATATTACTAATTTTCAGCCTTTTAAAAAAAAAATGATTTATATCACTAGTTTTATTTTTTTTTTTCTTTTTCAAAATACAAAAAATGGTACAAATTAAATAAATTTATAATTTGACCCCTCAACTAATCAATATTCTTGTTAGAGGAGTGAAGAAGCCAAAAATGCAGTAAAAAACAGTAATAATAATAGAATTATGGTGCAATTTGCTATTTTACTTACTTTCTTTAATTTAATAAAAAGTCCCTAACTTAATTTCATTTTTGGCAGTCGTCCCACCAATAAAAAACAAGTTATTTAAATTTGGAATTTTCAATAAATCACATGAAAAAAATCTCCTATGGAAATAAATCAATTTCTGAATATTTTCCTAATAAATATTAATTAAATGAATTTGAGTTCGACCGGCCGGTTCAAAAAAATTAGTTCAAAAATCGTTACGTACCCCACAGCCGGTGTCCACGGCGGTTCTGATAGACCCGTCGGCGAGACTGATCAGTTTCCCGATATCGTCGATGTAGGCGTCGGCGCCGTGAGGGAACATGGTGCCGCCGCCTGGGAATCTGAACCGGTCTTTCTCGTACCGAACCCAATTCTGTTTCTTCTTCTCCACCGTTAATTCCTTATGCGGAACATTCGAAAACCAAGCGAAATCCCGGCTCTCCGGCCACCGGAACGGAACCTTGTAGTTTGCCGGCGCCGGAATCCGGCATTTAAGAATCTCGCCGGCGACTGGGCAGTGACGTTCTCGGTAAATCAACCGATCCCTATCGAATTTCAGCGACCTTTCCCGGTCCTCGCAGGGGGTGTATTCGCTAAACTTCCCGTCGCACGGTGGGAGTTGAATATTACGCGCTTTTGTAACGACTTTAAGATCGGAGGCGGTGTGATGGGCGGTGAAATCAAGGTCGACGGTGACGTCGGCGGTGGAATTTTGGGTGGCGGCGACGGTGGTACAGGCGTAATTTCCGTTGGAAAATACGATGGATTTTCCGACGGAATGTTGCCAAACGCCGACGAGGTAAAAGGCGGCGCAGAGAATCGTAACTAAAGTGATGGTATAAAGATTTAGCCTACCGGGTTTGAAGGAGAAATGGTTCGTCGCCATTGAAGAGTTCAAGAAACAGAGAAGAACCTCAACGAAAACAGAGCCCTTTTTCTCTCTCTAGAACATAAGAAAGATTTTAAGGAAAAAGAAGCTTGAAGAAAGACGGTTCGCGGATTTGGACTTTTTAAGGGGGAAGGTGACGACTGTGGGCGTTCAAGAAGAGGAGAGAGAGAGGGCGGCGCGTCGGTTAACGCGCCGAACCCCGCTGAGTATGGCGGAGAGAGAAACAGAGTTGGGTTTATATGGTTTTTTTTTGTTTTTTTGGTATTTTTTTTATTCAATCTCTCTCTCTCTAGAAACTATGAACATTCTTCTTCCCTTAATTTCTTTTTCTTTTTTTTTCTTTTTTTTTGTCTATAAATTTTCAATTTTGTTTTGGGTACTTCCCGAAATTAGCCTCGATGTTAGTAATAACACCGAGGATCGACACCAGTCTATATAGTCTCAATTTATTCATATATTTTTTTACTATTGAAACGTCATAAAATTGACACAAACCTGAAGGTTAACTTTTTAACAAATGGGTAAGTCTTAAAAAAATGTTTGATAGCTAATACGAGCATAGTTCAACTAGCTAACACGAGCTAGGTTAATAGGTAATTTTAACCTAGAAATCATATGCCCAAATTCCTCGTTCTACATATTATTGAATTTAAAAAAAGTATCTAATAGATATTAGAATGTTCGGTGTCGTGGTACGTCATAAAGGGTATTAAAGGATTTTTAAAACGTTGATTTTATGTCTAACATATCACTGAATTTTTAAAGGATGAATCACGATATATTAAACGTAAAGTTGATAGTAAATAATAATAATTAGATACGTAATTGAAGATTCGTGAATTTACCCGATAAATTTAAAAATTAAATGAAGAAATTTGTTAAAAGTATTTTTGTTTAATAATTTTTTTTACTGACTTTATTTTATTGTTTAAAAGTTCAAATTCCCATATTGGGTTAAAAATTCAATTTAAATTTAGAATTTAAACTAAAATTTATTATTTGTGTTTCCCAATTTCAGAGTAATTATCTTTTTTACCGCTGTTAAACAACTAATTGCCAGCTCAAAAAAAGGATTTTTTATTTTTATTATTTTTTTTTTTACAAGTTTTTGTTTTTTTATTAGAGAAAACGTTTTGTTTTCGTATTGAATTTTATTAAATTATTTATAAAAGCCAAGTCGGTTTTATTCAACTTTTTTTTATTATTTAATTTTGAACAATTTTTTAAAATAAAAATAGTAAAAAATAACTATTAGAAATAAGTTATTTAGAGTTAAAAGGTTCAAAATTAAATTTCATAAATAAATAAATAATTAGTATTTAACTCGGAATCTTTTGAAAATGACTAAACTACCCTCCCACTTTACCTTCATTTCCACTATGGGTGGACGTTACCCACTATCACCTACCTTTGATGTATTAGGAACCACGAACCTCCACAATAGTATGATATTGTATAATAATCATTCCCTTAATTAGCCAGTGTGAGACAACCTCCCCTTAATCGAGGTTCGACTCTTCACTGGAGCCCTTGAACAAAGTACATCTTTAATCTACACTCGAGTCACTTTTGACTACACTTTCGAGGCTCCTAATTTCTTTGTTCGACACTTCAGGATTCTATTGACATGATTAAGTTAAAAACCTGACGCTGACACCGTGTTGAGAACTACAGACCCCTACAATGATATGATATGTACCGTGATCATCCCCTTAGACAATGTGAGACTTCTTCTCAACAATCCTCAACACGGTGACTACCGTTAATTGCAATTTTTGCGACTTCTGCTACTTGCGAGGCTTCCAACTCTTGCGACCACCGTTAATCCTCAACACGGTATTTTTGTTTTTAGTTTTTTAAAAAATTTACTGTATTATTAATGAAATTTTCTAAAATGTAAGAATATTTTTAAACATTTTTGAAAATTTAAGGGCATTTTTTAAATAAAGTATTAACGATTTTCCTTCGAGAATATTTGTTAATATATATATATATTTAATAGACTTTTTAAAAGGATATTATTTTATTAATTTAGCCATAATTGAATTTTTTTTAAAATTTAAGTCATTTATTTATTTGACATTAAAAAAATATGAACTTTACCAAACATATATATACGAAAAGTTTATTCCCTCGTGCTCTCGTGCTTTCGAACTCGGTTGAACAAAAAAAGTAAATACGTTTTAATTATAAAAATGTAAATTATGTCGTGACTAGTAGTTAATACGCATTCATGTATTCAATTCTTTAAATAAATTAATTACAGGTACGTACGCGTATATATATATATATATATATATATATATATATATATATATGTATATATATAACGGGAATTATTCTTATTACGTGTTATTAATTATGATTTTGTTGGGTTGTATTGTATTTTTGTGTAACCAAATTGGGTATAATCCTCACTGTTTAATTGTATTTATACCAAAATCCACTATTTTCTAATTATTACTCCTCATAATTTTTTTAAATAATTTCTCTAACCAAATAATTCTCCATTTTTCATGTGATTTTTATTTAGTTTAATAAATATTTATTTTTTTAAAATCAAAACAAATAATTAAATACATATTAGATCGAGTTGAGACATTTTTTAACCTAACTTGAATCATAAATTTTTTGAACCCGAACAAAATTTATTAAACAAGAAATTGTATTTTTCAAACACTTTTGAAAGTTAAAATATTATTTTTAAAATAAATATAAACTATTTTCGCTACCCATAAAACTATTTTTAAATTTTTATTTTAAGTTTAAAGTATTTTTAATATTCTTTTAAAAATTTAAAGGTATTATATAAATTTTTTATTAAATTTTAATGTATATTTAAAATTTTAAGGTTTAATAATCAAAATATATTTTATGTATTAAAATTTAAGTAGATTTTTTATTTTCATAAAATGCAATTATAATTTATGTTCTATTAATCTTGTGGACTCTCCAACCACGCGGTACGACGGCGCGTGAAGTTTCGTCGCCAACAGAAGTACATCAAACCATGTTCTCTGCCGAAAGGCCGGAAACCGCTCTACCTTGTTTCCAATCATACACCTTAACTAAATAATAAAAATTGACTTTTTTTTTTTTTTTTATAATATATATATTCTTATTTTCAATTTTAAATATATTAAATATTAAAAAAAACATCACTAGAAAATCATATCGTGCATGTTCCCGATCAAATTCAATCTCTTACGTGAATATCTTATGCTTTATATGACGACAAATCAATCAACCCGAACATCATTCTTAGTATCAATCGTTTCTAAACATTTTCGTTTGTAGATGTGAGATGACAACTAACAGTTTGATCCAATCATTTCTCAGGAACGAAATGATTTTCGTTTCACAAAGAATTGTTTGATTCAATCGTATACGGTCTTCAGAAAAAAATTGATTCCTCGAGAATAAAAAACCCGATCTCTTTCGTCGACTAGTTCGGTTGAGAAACACGTGTACCCTTATGCCTTTCTTTCATTTGGAGGATAGTTCTTAATTTGTGGGTCAAACTTTGTGGTGGGCCCTCAAAGGCCGTAATGGGGAAGGTGTGGCCAAGGATTGTTATTTTCTTATTTTTGCATTATTATTATTATTATTTTTAAATATATTTGTGATCTCCAGAGTAACTTTTATGTTCGTTTGGATCAGTAGGTTTCAAAAAGAGCACTTTAGTCCCTCAAGTTTAAAAAATACTATAAATCTGTACGACTCAGGTCCACCGCTAACAGATATTGTTCTTGGGGAAGGTTTCCACACCCTCGAAAATGGTGATTTGTTCTCCTCCTCAACGAATGTGGGACATCACAATCCACCCCCCTTCGGGGCCCAGTGTCCTCGTTGGCACTCTTTTCTTCCTCCAATTGATATGGGACCACCCCCCTTTGGGGCCCGGCGTCCTTACTGGCACACCCACCTCGTGTCTACCCTCCTTCGGGGAACAGCGAGAGGCTGACACATCATCTGGTATCTGGCTCTGATACCATTTGTAACGACCCAAGCCCACCGCTAGCAGATATTGTCCTCTTTGGGCTTTCCCTTTCGGGCTTCCCCTCAAGGCTTTAAAACGCATCTACTAGGGGAAGGTTTCCACGTGATTTGTTCTCCTCCCAACCAATGTCCGACGTCACAAAATCCCTCACTTTTTAATATTTAATAATTTTTTTAATGCTTTTAAAACTAATAAATCAAATATTAATTAATTTTGTTCTCTAATATAATATTAAGATTTCGAATCTAATATACTCTTAAATTTATTAGACACGAAATTAAAAAATTTAAAATTAATTATATATATATATATATCAACCAAGGCCTCCAAACTAAAAGACGAAATACTAGTAGATGGGCCTGATCCACTACCAACAATCTTTAATGGGCCTCATGGCCCATCAGGGTTAATGCAATAACCCCTTTTTCCTTAGATTTTAGACCAACAATTTAAATAGAAAAATAGAAAATATAAAAATAATTAATATATTTTAATTAAATTTATAATGTAAATTTAAATAATATCTATAAATTTAACCATGAAATATATACAGATTTAAATTTAATAAATTAATTTATTTAAATATGTAAAAAATACAGGCAAGATAAGAGTAACTAAAACCATCATTTCATTCGTTAATAATAATTAGTTTGCTAATTATAATTATGATTAATTTAATACGAGGATATTTTTGTAAAAAAATATATATTTAATTAGTGCAATATAATTACATTAAATTTATCCATTTAATCTTATTTAATGGTGTAGAATTAAATATATTTATATTTAATTTTCAATAATTTTATTTATGAGCATTTTATTTTGTATTTGTCATCGTCCTAAACTTTAAACTAAACAAATGATTAAACCAATATAAGATTTGGATCCTACGTGGATCTGAGTCAGCACATAACCCATCAACCACACGTTCACACATATACAAACCTATAAATATATAAATATAAATAAAGAATTTAAGAGACAGAAAAAAAAAAGGCTTTTTTTTATAAATATTTTATTACATTTGCCACGTGTACATTAAAGTTAAATTGCTGAGTCAGACATGCAATAATTATTATTTTATTATGCTTTTTCACTTTTTTTTCTATTAAAATTATTTTCATAAAATATGATATTTTTTATCTTTTAATGGCGTTTGGTATGAAATAATGAAGATGGGATTAACTTTAATTTAATTAAATGCAGATTTTTGTTTATTTATTATCAAATTAAAATATTAAAATAAAGTTCGATCATTAATATTATTTCAAATACGAATATTAAATATTTAAAATTTTAATATCTTCGATAAGATATATATATATATATATATATATATATATATATATATATATATATATATATATATATATATATATATATATATATATATATATATA